CAGTGGAAAAAATATGTAGCAGCATGCAGGCATCACTGGTTTTGGGGTAAATCAGCTGACCTCTAAGTTGGTCATGGATAGCATCCAATAAGCCCAAACTCCATGTATGGCATGAGATGCAAGTCAGAGGAATTTCTGTCTATGAGAGAAGATTTTCCCAACACGTTCAAATTCATGCAGGTACACATGATATATTTGGCTATAATATTTTTTAAGTAATTTAAACATGTTTTATCTTTAATACGGTTGCAGTCTTATTAACGATAATATTAAAATGGACATTTTCAAGTGTCTATTGTTGTATAATCAACCTATGCAATCAATGATTATGCCTCCTTACACTATTTTCAAGCAATTTAGTTCTATACTTTGAACTGCTGTGCAGTTTTACCAGCAGATAATGAATATATTAAAGAACTTGAACTGGGAGTTATATATATATATATATATATATATATATATATACACTATATTGCCAAAAGTATTTGCTCACCCATCCAAATTATTGGAATCAGGTGTTCCAATCACTTCCATGGCCACAGGTGTATAAATTCAAGCACCTAGGCATGCAGACTGTTTTTACAAACATTTGTGAAAGAATGGGTCGCTCTCAGGAGCTCAGTGAATTCCAGCGTGGAACTGTGATAGGATGCCACCTGTGCAACAAATCCAGTCGTGAAATTTCCTCGCTCCTAAATATTCCACAGTCAACTGTCAGCTGTATTATAAGAAAATGGAAGTGTTTGGGAACGACAGCAACTCAGCCACGAAGTGGTAGGCCACGTAAACTGACGGAGCGGGGTCAGCGGATGCTGACGCGCATAGTGCGAAGAGGTCGCCAACTTTCTGCAGAGTCAATCACTACAGACCTCCAAACTTCATGTGGCCTTCAGATTAGCTCAAGAACAGTGCGCAGAGAGCTTCATGGAATGGGTTTCCATGGTCGAGCAGCTGCATCCAAGCCATACATCACCAAGTGCAATGCAAAGCGTCGGATGCGGTGGTGTAAAGCACGCCGCCACTGGACTCTAGAGCAGTGGAGACGCGTTCTCTGGAGTGACGAATCGCGCTTCTCCATCTGGCAATCTGATGGACGGGTCTGGGTTTGGCGGTTGCCAGGAGAACGGTACTTGTCTGACTGCATTGTGCCAAGTGTAAAGTTTGGTGGAGGGGGGATTATGGTGTGGGGTTGTTTTTCAGGAGCTGGGCTTGGCCCCTTAGTTCCAGTGAAAGGAACTCTGAATGCTTCAGCATACCAAGACATTTTGGACAATTCCATGCTCCCAACTTTGTGGGAACAGTTTGGAGCTGGCCCCTTCCTCTTCCAACATGACTGTGCACCAGTGCACAAAGCAAGGTCCATAAAGACATGGATGACAGAGTCTGGTGTGGATGAACTTGACTGGCCTGCACAGAGTCCTGACCTCAACCCGATAGAACACCTTTGGGATGAATTAGAGCGGAGACTGAGAGCCAGGCCTTCTCGTCCAACATCAGTGTGCGACCTCACAAATGCGCTTCTGGAAGAATGGTCAAAAATTCCCATAAACACACTCCTAAACCTTGTGGACAGCCTTCCCAGAAGAGTTGAAGCTGTTCTAGCTGCAAAGGGTGGACCGACGTCATATTGAACCCTATGGATTAGGAACGGGATGTCACTTAAGCTCATATGTGAGTCAAGGCAGGTGAGCAAATACTTTTGGCAATATAGTGTATATATATATATATATATATATATATATATATATATATATATATATATATATATATATAAATATAAATATTTTTCAACAGATTTATATTAAATATGCATATAATTTTAGAAAATACATATGTCAAGAGTAGTATTGTCATTGCTATTTTTTTTTTGAAAATTCTAAAAGGCATAGATAACTATCCATTAAAGGTTTCAGCTCTTAATCTACTTTAATTTAGAAGTGTGCAATGTATGGGGAAATGCCAATATTTATGCTTGTTTTACAGAACAGAAGTATAATGTTTCTGTCTTCTGTACTTGTTTTCTTAATTGGCTCATATCCTACCATCACTTCCAACAAGCTGAACTGTCATCCAGCTCCAATCCTCTGAAGCCATACACAGAGTCAGCTCTCAGCAGCTTTCTCATTTCCAGTTTTCCAACAGGCACCGGTAATTACCCATTAGACATCTGGACAAAGTTTCCCTCTAAGTGCAGTGACACCTATAACTCTGTTTGTTTGCATTTGACAGCTGTAATCAAATTTGCTGACTGTTGGGGAAGCACAGAGCAGCTGTTAACTGCTGGATAATCTTTCACAGTGACAGCGATGCACAGACAGAGTCACCACAAAGCTACCCTATTCCTCAGTTCTGCACTCTTTCCCAGTATGCACATTTCGTGATAATTTTTAAAATTCAGTCTAAATGCTAATTTGAGTTTGATCGGAGTCTTGGGGCTCCTCTCTTTAAAAGACTAGATGAATGTCCTTTTTCTGATTTCTTTCCTGTATTTTGCTTAAGTAACCCTCTATTCTTTTGTAGATTCCTTCAGAGGCACTTGTTCACCTGGAGGCCTAAGCTGCAAAAGTGTTACACCCATGTTATAAAACAGCTAATAATGAAGATCCATGGTTCTTAGGTATATTTCGGGACACTACTGCAAGAATCTCAAACTCAGGTGATGAAATCAACTAGGTGTTTTATACCACTTTCATCTGTATGTTGCTTTTCCAGACTTGTTTAGTCAGCCATAACAACATTGAAATAAGCGGCTGAATAATTTATGGTTCTAAGTAAGGGGAACATGGAAAAAGGGTAAAGGAAAAAATATATTAAAAAAAGTCCAGAGGCCAGGACAAGTTGGAGAAATGGAGCTAAGAAATGAATTTCTATAAGGAAAGGAAGAAGCCCCAAAAAAAGAAGACACATGCAAAGGAAGAACTAGGTTGGAATAAAAATATTGGATCTAATCAGAAGTTATTTTGGTCCGTGTCTTGTTATGCTATTGATTTTTAATAAATAAACGATCCCAGTACACATTAGGATGACAACAGTTAAAAATCTCTGCCTAAGACAATCCCTGAATTTGAAGGACCAAAATGATGGAGGAATAAAAAAGACGTCATTATTTTCAATAGGAAGAACTGAAAAACGGAATGTATTCTTTTAGGTGGAATATGATCAGACATCACACAACATCTCTCTGTGTTGTTCTCCAGTCTCATGTTTAGAAGCCAGGCCACACGTTCATGAATGTCCATATGATTACTGTAGCTAACATTCAGGACTTAGCCCCTTCTTGCCTGTAAAATCCTAACAACAAAGCAATTTAGATTAGGAGCAAAATGGCGGAAAGCCTGTCCAGCAAATCATCACGTGAACTTGAAAATGGTCACTTTCCAAAGTAAAGTTCTTCTGCTAACAGCACTGAAAAATTATGAGATTATTAATAATTCACTATTCGCATAATTCACTGAAAAAAAAATTATCCGGAAGGTGATGCTGTTTTGCAAAATATTTGTCTCTTAGTCTTTAGTAATATGGGATCAGAGAATAGAACATGTTGTAATATGTATTACCTTGGAAAATTGTGTTTGTCTCTACAGTATGTGCATGTAGAAACAGAAAATTGTTTAAATCAGTTTTATAGAGTTCTCCTGTAAGTCCATTGTGCTTTTGTTTGGTCAATGGTAATGATTTCTGATTCTGCATCCATCTTCTTTTCCATCCTGCCCATTTAGCTGACTTTTCATTACCTGCTTCATTATATTATGGGGACCTAAAACACCCAGGGGCAGATGTTTACGTCAGCTGGCATTTGGCTCATATATTGGCTTGAACTGAATGTCAGAACACTCAATAACAGATGTTATTACCTGTTGGCACATGGACTCTGAGTAGACATAAAAAAACTGACCTTTCATACAAACTGACTCTCCAGCTGTCTGTCTTACTGTCTGTCTATTGATCTCTCTGTGTAAGTCCACAGGACCATTTTGAGTGCCCTGCATCAGGACAACTCAAAGACCTAAATAGAGGAGGCCATAAAACGCTGCTGCACTGTCCAAAGTGCACAAGCAGACTGACTCACAACCATATAAACTTTGTCATTCAGGATTGTAAAATCTATAACCAGAGAACCTCTCACACTAAAAAAACAACACCTTTAGAAATGCTGTAATGCAAATGGCACCCTCTGCTAGTTGCTATGTATAAGCAGTTGAGCTTTAATAGACACTATAAAGAGGAGAGTAGAAGGAAGACAAATGTTAGGGAATGTCAGGTTGATTTTACTAGAAAATTCCACAGGTTGAGGTTATGTAATAAGTCATCCCCTTCTGTGTGTCCTTGAAAACAATAAAAAAAAACATTACAGAGCTCCTTTTTCCTTCAAAACAACCAGTGGAAATCACTCATATCTGGGCTGGTAGCAACCGTAGAGGAGGAGCTGTAAATAAAATGCTACTTATAAAGTGAAAAAAGAAAGACTGGGATTTTCCTCCTTACTAACATTTCCTAGTCTTGTGTCAAATCTAAAGTATCATAATTAATAATAAATAAACAAATAATAAATATTTCAGTATCGTTGTATAGACCTTGAAGTTATTCATTGATAGCAGCATGAAAAACTGATCGTTTCACAATAAAACTTGGAGAGTAATACAATGTAAAGTAAAAACAGGTGGATGGATGGATGGATGGATGGATGGATGGATGGATGGATGGATGGATGGATGGATGGATGGATGGATGGATGGATGGATGGATGGATGGATGGATGGATGGATGGATGGATGGATGGATGGATGGATGGATGGATGGACAAACTAAAAGACGGGCAGATAGTACTCACACCAAAAAACAATTCCTTGTCTAATTTTAAAGTAAAGAGTTGGAAAACTTCCACTGTGGGTCAAAATTGTGGAAATAGCAAAGAAATAGTTTGGTTGTTTTTTTTCTCTTACTTAAAAGCCCACTCATAGTCTAATAGAAACATCAAATGTCATCATAGTTCACATTACCTTTGTGCAAAGAGGTTTGATTGCTTTCTTCAAACTCACGGGGAGCACATATTAATCTATGCCTCAGGCAGCCTGATAAACTTCTGGGATGTTGGTCGGTGAGAAATCTGAACAGGAAAAAAAGTTTAACATCCTTAGAATTTAAACAAATCAAAATGTCAACTTAAAGATCAATCTAAGCAGGAAGATGAATTATGCCCCCCAGCAAAAGGCTGTCGCCAAACAGTTGTTTGTAAACTAAAAGCCCAATAAAGACTCAACCAGAGCACACCATTAAAAATTGACATAAAGGCCTGTAAAACACAAAGTGGATCCACAGACACAAGGAAACTGTGGGGCTGGCTAAACCACAGCCAGCATGCATTCCAAATCCCATTAGCCTCACTAGTTGTTACTGTTGACCTGCATCAAAAAGAACTGCAAGCATGTGGGTCACAGACATGCCTGCAAACAACTGCAGCTCATTAGAAACTGTTGAAAGTTTATCTGAATAATATCACCAGAATAAAAAAAAAAGGGTAAAAATATTCTGTAGTCAGTTTTGGAATCAGTTTTACAAATGGTCTTTTATTCAGATAAACTGGCAAATAAAAGAATCAGACAGTTTTCCAGTACTTACCCAACAATTTATTAAAGAAACAGAGTTTTGCTTGTATTTCAACAAAATCATAAATAAATACATATAAAAGGATTCCTACCTATTTATTTATTTCTATTTTTGTTTTATTAACCACAATTGCAAACAGTCCAATTTCAAATAAGAAAATACAGGTTTAAAAATTGAAGATATTGAGACAATAATTTTGTTCCCTAACAATCTCCTGTGGTATTAATAAAGTTTTATCTTTCTGTCTGTCTGAATAATTATGAATAAGTATAGAACGGTTAAATGTGAATACAATAAACTGGACAACAAATTCTTTAAAACTATTTTTACTATTAATACTGCAAATTCAGACAAAACGTTATCAAGAAGATACAGAAAAAAAAGTATAAACCTATTTCCAAAGGGTTGAATGTTCCCAGGACCTCTGTGACCTAAATAATTTGAAAACTAATTGGAGGGTGTTTGGAGCCGCCAGGAATTGGCCTAGATAGAGACATCTAGCGAGCACTTGAATAAGAGAGTGAAAAAAATAGATTACATGGACTGATTTAAAAAAAAAAACTGCCAAATCTCTAATATTCAACAACAAAAAATACCTAGTTAAGTATATTGTTCGAAACACCAATATAAAAAATAAAAATCCTATCAGATTTATAGTCCCCACACTGCAGATATATTAGAATCTGGCCTTAAATTACAGCCAAACCAATTTACACAGTAACAGATAAAAACCTTTAGATAAATCAAACATCACCACTAAATATCTGACTCAAAAACCATAAAAACAACTATTTTCATTGATTTCAGACAGAACTATTCACATGCTTGTATTATATTAAACTGAACTTCCAATATTCACCACTGTTCAGCACCAAGTACCTTTTTCCTCTGATCACAGAGCAGCCGGCTTGCTTAATCTCGCAATGAATCCTGGGTAAACCAAGGATACCGAGGATACATCGGACCCATCCTTCAAATTGGGCAAAAAGAAGGACGCATTTTAAGGCCGCATAACGAGGAGTCTTGGAATCCGACCAGACCTCGGCGTGGCACTATGACGTAATTGTCTTTCAAATCTGGCCTTCTGAGGATGCATTCAATGAATTCGAACAGAGCCATTAATTACCATTAGAACCGGCCCACAGGCCACGGCCGCTTGTGTGTGCTGCTGTGACTTTGCAGGCTACCATTGCATTGTGGGGAATATAGTGTTGGTGTTTTGGGGGGGTTTGAGCTAATCCTGCAGGTGGTCGAAATGGACACATAGGGGTGGAAATCGAAAACCGGTTCCTGTTCAGAACCGGTTCCGTGTTTTCCAATTTCCATGGCACTGTTTGGCAGCTCGCTTTACGATTCTCTTATCAATTCCAGGCCGTATCAGAGCCTAGCGCTGGGCAGAACGAATTAGGTCACATTTATTTACGCAAGTTACACACACGGCATTCACTCAGCAAGTATGGCATGACAAGGCGTAAGTCTAGAAAAGCAAAAGAAAAAAATGGCACCCCATCGGGTTAAGCGATCAAAAGTTTGGCTTAATGTTAAGGAAAGAAAGATGACAACAAGGTGCTTTGCAATCATTGCAAAGTGGCAATTGCATCTGTGGAAGGAAATACATCCAACATGCAGAAACACCTGCGCACACAACATGGCATGTATTTTAACGAATGCCATGTTTTTTATGCTTACGGACAGAAGCTAAAGTTACGACCAGCATGGAAGGCAACTCTGGTGGTAAGTAGCTAGTTTTATATCATTAGCTCTGCTTAACGTGATTCCAAGTAAATCATATACCATTTCTGGAAATAAACCAATGTCCTATCTCTCTTTGGGATTATTAAAGGAGTGTGCCTTTCTCATTAATCCAGCCAATCATTGTTAATATTTTTAATTAGAACTACTGATAGCTTGAATTCTTACATGATTCTAGCTATTGCAATGGATGTAACTAAACATGCGATATACAGTAGTTGCTCCGCAGTTCAGTTTTTGTACAAGACATGATTTTTTCTTTGAAGGAAGTATTGTTTTGCCTGTGTGCCATAGATTTTTGTATTTTATTTTATTTATTCATATTTTTCAGTTGAATTGACTTAGGGAAAAATGCAGATAAGTGCCATAAGAGAGAATACAACATATATTTTTTCTATTTTTACTATTTGAAAGCAGTGATTGGTTGGATCATAGAGCAGCTCAGTAGTGCATCTTCGGTTTATAATACATGCACTTTCATATGTATGTATCTTAATACATTTATCAATATAATAAAAGTTTATTAATAATATTGATATTAAAATGTTGTTTTTACAAATGCAATGTGTTAGGTCTTGGTTCAATAGGCTATGTTCATTTCAAACGTTTTAATAAACATTTAACCAGTCCAGCCCTCAGCATGTAGCAAATTTGTTTTTTTGGCCCTCGGTATATTTGACTTTGACATCCCTGCTGTAGACGATCTACCAAGTGGGTAGTTTGTATGGATCGTTCCATAAATTTCAGTTTAATACTGACCGACCAATCATAGGAAATAACCGGTAGTGACACATTTTCTCTCCTGCGTTCATGTTTGTATGTGTAGTGGTAGTCACATGGAGAGCCATGCCTGAAAGCCATGGAGAAGAAGTTAGTCGCTAAAAAATCAAAACCTCTACTTCCACTACATCACTGTACTTTGATGGCCTTCAGTGTGATGGAACGGAATTTTGTTCAACGTTTGCACATTACAGTTCCCAAGAAGTGCGAAAGTTTCTAATTTAATATTTCAACACTGAATATGTGAAGTTATCCATTAAGAGAAAGTATTTGTGGTTGCAAATGTATATGAAATAAAATTTTCATCTCATATTGTTTGTAGAGTTTTAAATATTAAGGTATGTACAGTAGGTACACATATGTATGGCTCTAGGCTCTATGATATGTCCTCACTTGTTTCTTTGTTTTTTACTAATAATTGAACTTAATGGATCTCAGACTGGAGAAATTCACCTCTGCATTTGACCCATTACCTTGGGGAGCAGTGGGATAACACTGAGCTGTGCATGGGGAGCAGTGCGGGGTTAAGGGTCTTGATCAGGGACCCAGAGTGCAGGCTGTGGTGATCAAAATACTTGCAACCTTCTCAGAGCACAAGCACACTGCTCTAAACACTAGGTCAACGCCTCCCTCTACCGGCTTTCTGTCTATGAAGTTGTTTCCAAATCTTTAATATAGTGCAATAAATCTTGTATTATGAAACCACTTCCTACCACATTGGCTTAGTGATGATTTCTTAAATGACCTCAATTCACCTTCAAGTGTCAGAGATGGTGTTATAAGTAATCTATCTACAAAGCAATGACTGCCTATTTGGTTACATTCTTTATCTACTGAGAACTGGAAACTTGGACCAATAAAAGCATAAAATGTTTTAATTATCCTGCCATACCAGGAAAGCTTTTATGAAAGAGAACAAATAGGGTCATTGTTGCAGGTGTTTTATTGTGACCTCACAGGTGTGCCAGCAAAGACAACTGAAGTATCCTTTCTCAGTGAGACAATTACCTTGTAAATATTGTTTCACTGTGAGAATATTTAACTAAAAACACAAGATAATCTAATAATTCCAGCTTGTTCAAGTAAATGGTTGTCTGAAATAAAATAATTTTAATTAGGTAATCATGTTTGCTACAATATTATTTCGGATAAACACATTAACCTGATAATTGGTGCAATTTTGCTGCACCCACTGTTAAAGTCTTTGTGTTTCACTCATCAGGTCATGGTTCGAGGAGGCAGCACTCTCCGTGGAGTGTCCTATACTTCCCTCTCCCCAGACAGATTCTTCAGCTCTTTTGGGGGTAAGCCTGAAGCATCCCAGGGTCAGACAAGAGATGTAGTCCCTCCAGTTTGTTCTTAGCAGTCCCATGGTCTTCCTACTGGTGGGATATGCCTGGACCCCAACGGTCCCCAATATATTTCAATTCCAATGCAAGAGGCAGTACCTCTCCTTTGACCTCAAGAGGGTAGCCAACCAAATTTTTCAAAGCATAGAACAATAGCTTATGATGTGGAGACGCTGATCTCCATCCTGGCCACCATTCACTCACCTGCAAACCACCACAGATCATGCAGTAAGTCTTGGCAAGAATAACCTAGCAAAACCATGTCATCCATGAAAACGATGGATGAAATCCACTGGTCCCCAAACCAGATCACCTCCAGCCTTTTGCTGTTTTGATAGTTTTCTATCATGAAATGAAAAATCTGTGAATATAAAACCTTTTACTTTTTTAAGACATTTTGTTCTTTTTTGCTGCTCCCTAACAATTTGGATCAATGATCTGCTCATTACCCAGTTTAGCCAAATTTGAGCTGTCAAATTGCCCTTTTTACCAGCTCCACATCACTCAACTTGATTTGGGAACCCTTTCATCATTTAGTTTTCCTACTTGGCACCTGATTTTTTTAGGTAATGGAGTGGAGGGGGAGTAAACAAAGCCAAACAGGGACCAATGTTTGGTA